TCATGAGTTCTTCTCAGTCATCAGCAAGCAAGGTACAAAGGACCTCTCCCAGCAGGACTGGCAGTCTGATGTTTACCTTTTCACCTCCCATTATAATATCTACGGAGGCGGTTGTACTGCCTCCATCATTTACTCCATTTACATTAAGTGCGCCTATAGACCTTTCTGGCTCTAGCAGGGCTTCAGAACCAGTTGTGAAGAGTTCAACTCAAAACATCATTGCAGTGAAGACAGCAAACTGTAAGAGGAAAAATGAGGATTTGGAGGACCTATCACCTGCCAAACTCCTGAAAAAAGGAGGCGTCCTAGATGTTTGGAAAAGCCCTGCAGCTCTCACATGCCAAAAGGGAGAGTCTCTTGCTGCTCAGCCTACCACAGTGGGGCCAGTCATTTATACAAAATCAGCAAGCAATACCTTTTCTTCTAGTGGAATCAGGTGTGAGACATGTGCAAAATCTCCATCATTCTGTAAGTGTGATACATGTCTCTTTCAAAACAATGTAAAACTGCCACCTGGAGAGAGCGTTAAACATGCTGATGCCAGCAAACCTGGCAAAGCAACTCTGCCTGCATCAGGGACAGGCTCTGGAGGCAAATTTGAATCAGCAACAGAAACTTGGGTTTGTGATACCTGTTTAGTTCAAAATAAACCTGAGGCAAGGAGATGCGTGGCTTGTGAAACATTCAAACTTTGAACTGCTTGCTATGAATCCAGTCCTCAGGGGGACAGCAGTTTTAGAAACTGCATTCACTAAGACTAAGTCATCTTCCTGCAGCACCGTTATCTCTGATGCCTTAAGATTGGGACATAAATTCAAAAGGCCTGTGGGATCTTGGCTGTGCCCACTCTGCTGGGCTTCTAATAATGAAGAAGACAACAGATGTTGTCCTATACACTTGTGAAATCAGCAAGCTCACTCCCTGCTTTTAGGAGCAGTGGGGTACCTGCCTCTCTGTTTTCTGGAGAGCCCCTAGGATTGGCCAAGTCCAAAAGGCCTGAGGGGAAACGGGGCTGTGAAATGTGCCTAGTGCAGAGTCAAGCAGACGCCGCCACATGTATAGCGTGTGAACTTTCAAGGCCCAGGCACATGTTCCTCGTCTCTGAATCCAGCAGCCTCACCCTTCAAATTTGGTGGCCCTTCATTCTCTTCTGGGCCTTCTCACACCATGACAAACACTGGAAATTTTAAAGCTGGAGATCAGAGAGGATTCAAAGGAAGTGTATCCTCTGACTCTGGGTCTAGACAGCCCAGGAGTGAAGGCTTTAAAATTTCTAAACCCACCAGAGATTCTACATATGGAGATTCAACTGATTCTAACCATGAAGAAGTTAAACAACACAGTAAGAATAGTAATAATTTTAATTCTAGACTTTCTGCTGGGCAGCAGGGAAAGAAAGAGGAACAGCCAACACAGTGTATTTTTGCTTCTAGAGCGCAAACCAGCATCACAGCTGATCGAGGTGCAGCAAAGCCTGTTTTCAGCTTCCTAAACAACAGTTCCTCTGGTTCAAGCACACCCGCCACTTCAGCTGCTGGTGGCCTACCTGGCAGTGTCATCTACTCCACTGCACCCGTGGCCGCCCTGGGGTCTGGACAGGCCAGCAAGCCCATGAGCAGCTCTCCTCTCCACCACCCTGCTCAATCCAGTCTTTCTCAGTCTCTGCTGTTTGCTCAGGACAGAAAATCAGCAGCCATATTCAGCTCAGCTAGAGCTGTCACCACCAGAATAAATACTGTATCCATTTAAAAGCTTGCCTTAGCCCGTTGCTTTTGTTGTTTAAAGCGAAGGTTATATAGCTCCTTTGATCTGTAGCTCCACTATAGATAACATCCTAGTTCTGAAGAACAAAGTGGGAATCCTTGAACAAACTTGTGATATATGTGCCTTAGCTGTCAAGGGTTCAGGACTGTAATCAGTGACAGAAACCACCTGAGTCTAACCATTAAACAGGAATTGGAACTTTATTTACTTAAGGATCACTAGGGATGAGATAATGACTGGCAAAAGTATAAAAGGTGATGGACAAAGAACACAGGGCAGGGACTCTGACCAGACCAGTTTCTGGCAGTCCGGCCTGCTTGTGAGAAAACTTTTATTTTACACCCCCTCCAACCCCTCCCCCCCCAAAACTGCATGGTACTGGCAAAGAAACAGACCTGAGGATCAGTGGAATAGATCAGAAGATGCAGAAACAACTCCAGACATACTCAGCCACCCCGACTTTGGCAAAGAACTATATATTTCATGTGTTATCCTGTAGGTTAGACTGAGTGTGCTTTTTTCCCACTCATCATTGTTAGGCATAAAGTCAGAGAAGAGTCAGAGAAGTACACATCAGAACAATAGATATAAAACCTTTACTTTTCCCTATTTTTTGGATGATGCCTTATTATACAATTTCCACACAAGAGTTCAAAGTTCTTAGCAATCATAATAAGATATTGGAAAGGATACGAAGAGAAGAGGAACGATTAGAAAATAAAATTTGGAAGGACATAAAATGTTAAGGAAAATTAAATGAGAGTATATTGTTTACTTATATAATTATAAAGATAGCAGAGTTGAGATCTAATAAGAAAGTAAAACATTAAAGTTAACTTAGTATTTTCCAATAAGTTGAAACTTAAAAGCTATAAGCAAATTCTAAAATATTAATGTAGAAGGAGTAGAAAATTTTAAGCAAAATGGTAAAAACTAATGAAGAGGAAGTTTTTCTTCAATTGTTATAGAATTGAGAATACGGGAGAATTAAGAGCTCACATTATAAAAGAAAACCAAACTTAGAGGGAAAGATTGTGAGAATTTTTTAAATATAGTAGGAAATGAGTCACTTTGACTCATCACCGCAATTACTTTTCAAAATGGAATAATTCTATAAAGATTTGTAAAATGTTCAACCTTTTAAAAAACTACACAGTGCATGAAAGGAAGGATGATTTGCTCATTCATTTAGGAGTCATAGGGCTGGGAATGCCAGGGCTGAGGTGTCATGGTGCCCCAGGCCACTCTGTGCAGATAGGGTGGGGACCAGATAGGTCTACAGAGAACAGAGGGGACATCTGGAATTTTGCTGGAAAAACAGACTTTGTCATCATTTGTTGGCTGATTTTATATTTTGAGTGTCACCAATTTCTGATTTTAAGCAAGTGTATATTCAATTTATTTTCTTTGTATATTATATATCCCATTATATGTGCATTAAAATAAAACTTGAGAAGAACATAAAGAACATATCCGGGGAATATTTGCTTATACTCTTCCCTATTATACATCCTTGAAGTTGTTCTCTAAAATCCACAGCTATGATTAGGACAGAATAAATCACTTCTCGACACTGTAGGTTAATAATGTTCAATGAAATGTGCTAAGCATTTGAAGATCAAGACACAGACTAAAAGAGACACAGACTGACTGACAGACACAGCTGGGCTGACTGAGATGTGGAAAGAGAGAGGGGCCAAGACAGTGATGAAGAATTGGGGGGAAGAGACAGTGACGGCGTCCTTTGTCCTTGAGTTGGCCAGGTTCCTGAGGAGTGCTGAGGTCCACAAGCTGAGACACTGAGTGACGTGGAAAAGCTGGAGACTTCATGGCAGCTTCATGTCCTTGCTTTCTAATTTTTTTTTCTTTGAGACTTCTGTTCCTTAGCAGCAATTATTTATAAAGATAGGGGCTAAAGGCTAGTTGGGAAAAATTGATGGCAGAGAACAAGGGAAGTAGTTTTGATTTCTCAAAGTAAACAAATAGATAAATGCACAAGGAAAAGAAAAGGATGCATTTCCTAGTGGTAATACTAGAAAATGAGGGATTTTCAGTTCATTTTAAAAACTTTTTGGAGGGCTGGGGATTTAGCTCAGTGGTTCTGCTGCCTGCCTTGCAAGCATAAGGACCCGAGTTTGATCCTGGTGCCAAAGAAAAAAATTAAATAAATAAATAAAAAATAAAAACTTGGAGAGAATTAACCAAAATCTAAATACTTAGTTTGTTCATAGGAATAAAAAAATAGTGTTAATCACTATTTTTTTCCTTGAAAACAGTGAAGAGGGGAAAATAATATAACTATGATATTAGGCCAGGTTTGGGCAATGTGTAATTAGTAGAAGGCAAGCACACTTCCAAACAAGTATTTGAATAAGGCTGGATTTAGTAGTAGTAGCAGCAGCAGCAGCAGCAGCTACTGCTGCGCTCATTTTGCAGAGTCGGCATTTTCTGAGTTGTCTGGACACACTAGTGAAACCCACACAGCGGGGAATCAGCAGCTGCCATCTTCTCCTCCCTCAAAGCTCTTTTAGATCTTGGTGAGATTGCACCCTTGCCCACCCTGAGCTGTGGTACCCAGGGCCCTCTAAAGCCCAGTCCTCCCCTCAATTGGGCATTCATTATACTTTGGTAAAAAGGAGTTAAAAATCCCTGCCTCAAGTCTGTATTATACAACGTGTGTATTTTTTTTTTAATAAAATACTTGCTTCCGTTGAAAAGGTCACTCACCTAGGAAGAGTTTGAGGATAGGGAATTTCAGAAGCCTGATAATACTTCACCTAAATCCACATGTCGGAGAGAGCTTGTTCTGTCAGTGAGGAAGTCTTACAATGGGGCATTTGTTTTCTGAAAATAAAAACAGTCAAACAAGAAAATATATATAGTACATATTTAATATATATAGTATATATCAAATATGTATGTTAATATTATAGAGCTGTCTCCAAGGAAATGCTGATCATTTCTCTCTGTCTAGATGGTTTGTACAGAGGCTTAAATTAATTTTATTCAGTTTCCGTGGGTCTCTGTCACCTGATGCAGTGGTCTGCAGTGGCAAGAGGCTTAGATGCATTCCCTGACTTTCATTTGGTACCAAATCCACAGTGGTGTGCTCAGCCCTCTCATACCCCTCTGTGCCCTCAAGCTGGAGCCAGGCCTCAATGTCAGAGGGACCCTACTGCTGTGTGAGGGGCCAGCAGCACTAGATGCTGAGGAAACAGTTCAGTCCTTTCTAGAGAGCTTGGGAAGATTAGACTCTTCTGTTTCTTCTCCACAGTCCTTGCACTGACTTTAGAACTCCCTGACTTTTCCTGCTGGGTACGAGCTATGCCAGGAGCCCTGTCTGCCTGCAAGCCTCCGAGACCTCAGCTGGTGGCCGGGCTGAGAGTGAGGCTGTGCACAGCCAGAGCTCTGTGCAGAGCAGGACAAACTGCATGGAGTGCCTATGAGCATGTAGATTTTAAAAAAGAATAATACTCAATGTGCAAACAAAAAAAAAAGCATTGAAGAAAAGAGCTAAGAGAATCTTGTAAGTGAAGATCTTAGTTACATGGGAGATGGCATGAAATATCTGTGCCTGTGGCATTTTTGCTCAGTTGAGCTCCCCTCCATTGCTCCATGCATGCATTAACTCAGCTTCTTATTATATCACTAAATCGGTGAATCAGGTATTTATCTAAGGCTTATTACAGGGCCAGTGCTGTGTTGGGGACTGAAGGGGTATTTTAGAAAGTGAAGTGATGCATTTCCTTGCCAAGAAATTATAAGCCTGTTGGGGAAAAAAAGAACCATTAAAAAACTAATGTTGGATTTTATTTTTCGTATGAACCTTTGGGAACTTTGTGACACTTCAGCTGCTTTTGAAAGTCTCCACAATTTAAACTATTGTTCTTTGCCCTGAGGGGTATGGGGAAAGATGTGGGGAAAAGTTCCTGAGAATTTTTCAGGGCTTCTGATTATCTGAGTTCAAGTTTACCTGGAGGAATAGGTGTGACTGGCTTCCCCTCAAAGTCCCTTTTGCTCACTTTGTCAGAATCTGGGGGTGCTTCCATCTGGGGCTGATGTTATGGTTTGGATCTTCTACAGGTCCCTTGTGACTAAAGGCTGGGTTTACATGGTTGTGCTCTGGTATTGGGAGGTGATATAACATTTGGGATGTCAGACCTGGTGGGAAATTCTTTGGTCCTTAGATTTATAGGGTACATCATGTGCCACCCCTTGAGTTCTCTCCAGAGGATTGTTACAAAAAGAGTAAGCCTGGCCCTTACTGTTCTCTTTCATCTTCCTGGCTTGAGATGTGACCATTCACTCCTACATGCTTCCTTGCTATCTACCCTTTGTCATGAGTCCTTACTGGAATGAAGCTGATGCAGGTATTGTGCCCTTGAACCTCCTAAGTGTGAACTGAAAACAATTTCTGTCTTTGTAAGTTAACTGCCTCAGGTATTTTGTTATAGTAACACAAAGCTAACTATATAGGTGGCAATGAATCTTAGGAACTGAATCTCCTTTGCTTGTATACTGAGGATTTTCAAGAAATTTCACTGCAATGTTTGATCATCACACTGTGCTGGACCTTCATAAGAATCATAATTTGGCTCTCAGTAAATATTTTTACTTTGTCCCTCAGCATTCAGGTTCTCAAAGTGGTATTTGTAGATCCTTGGGCTCCCTGTGACCCTTTTGGGTGGTCTACAAGATCTAAGCTATTTAAGGTGTTGTTTGACCTTTCATTCTGTTGATGTGCAGTCAGTGGTGGGCAGAGCTGCTGGTGGCTTTGGACAAATCAAAGTGGTACCAACCTGAACTCAGAGTCATATTTTCTGTTGCTATGTAAAAGTTTTAATTAATTATGTGCTCATTTTTCATATACTGTTATGTTCATATTTCATTGCTATTTTGAGTATTCACTTGATGAGATAGGACGCTTGCATGGAGGATGTCTGATACACACCAAAGTGTAAAGGTTGTGTCAAGGAAGACTTGTCTAGGAAA